TAGCGAACTTTTTCTTTTCCCCTCCCTGGTTCGTTTCCGATTGTGGGTCGGCTGCAGACTTGCCCTCCACTTCACGGCTCGTCCCAGGTTGGGGCGAAGTATTGCAGGATATTGGTGAGGCTAAAAGAGCCTCTTCCAAACCTACAGATAGTTCCATTAGAGGAGATTTTTCGGTAATCTTTTCAAAATGTCGATTTTCGTCAGAGCCATTCGCCAAACTGCTCGCCGGACAGGAGAGCAGAATAGGTGTTGAGACGACACATCGAAAACGCTATCGCCGTACTGATCCGAGTGAATACATAATTTCTGCAAAAACTTGAAGAAACGCTGTCTTAAGGTCTAAAATTGACGCCCGCGACGATTAAAAGCGCTTAGAAATCGTCGGAATCTTAAAATATTTTAAAAAAAATTATTGATTTAAGTTATCAAAATAATGAGTAAGCAAATTATGAATATTGACGTTATGAATATATTTAAGTGATTCCCAAGCATATAGATCAAATGATTTCGTTGTAATTTCAACTATAGTGATTTTTTAGAGGTGTTTTCGCAGATAATTATGATCGAGTCAAAATTATACAATCGTGTTTTTGAGCAATCAAGTTCAAGATTAAGACATGAATTTACCTATATCAAAATCCCACTTTCGTTAGTGGTGTCATAGTCCTATACTATTTGATAAAAGGCGGTGCATTTTTTCACGGTGTCGCCTTAATCTAGTCCTACTGATAATATCAAAAAGTTAGGAGTAGACTAACCCCCGCCCTACGTATTGCATTAAATTAAACTTTAAACTTCTAATAGGCTTATTTTGTTCTTAAGTGTTACGAGATATATTGTTAATTTATGGTCGTTAGTTTTCCTAGTTTTTAAATAAAAGATAAAAATGTACTTCTGTCTACAGGCCCTCTCGTTTTTGAGCTGGTTTGTGAACAGGAAAGAGTTCACCGCATTGCCCGCACCGCATTGTACTTCATAATACTATGTCCTATATATATATTTAAACGTTTCAGACAAGGTTTGCCCATGCTTTGCATGAGCCGTGGTAGGCAGATGGTTAGCGCTCGCTGTAAATTTTACAGTACGCGAGCAACCCGGGTTCGATCCCCGCTGGCACCAATGAAATTGTTAATTGATATTTTAATGCTGATTTAAGTGCTTGCTGGTGAAGAAAAACATCGTGAGGAAAGCGGCATGTCTAAGAAATAAAAAATATTTCGAAGACATATGAAGTTCACCAACACGCATTGGGGCAGCGCGGCGGACACTTCCTTGCCCTAAAACCCTCTCAGAACTGAGAGCAGGCCTGTCCACAGAAAAGGGGCGTATATGGGCTGTAGCTTTAACTTTTGCTCTTGCTGTTTTTTTTTCATCGCTGAGCACGCGATATAACAGTAGTTAAAATTGTAATTAACAATTAATTTGATTGTCGGCGAGAATCAAAATCGGTGCGCTTATCCTCAGAGCTCTGAATTCAACTTGTGCGTATTATTTTTAATTAATACCTCTTTATTTTTAGAAAATAATTGTGATGAAATACTTAATTTATTAAAAATGTAAAGCACACGTTTTAATAAGAACGTTAGAACAATAAACATTTGACTTTTAAATTTTCATTCAATGTAACTAACGCGTATGTGGTCGTTACATAATAAATGTTTTAAAATCTTTAATGATATTAGTTGTCACATACACTGATTCCTGAAAACACAAAAAGTAAGAAGGTTAAAATAATATGAGGCCATTATTTAAGTATTTTTTGCTATTTGGTTCACTTTCATATCAAATAAAACATTTTTCTGCAATTAAACTTACATTTGTTTGCTCTTAAACATCGACCGTGATATAGATCGATGTATATTAGAACATCTGTCCATTTCAAAGTAAAGTTTGATCTCCATTCCGACTAAGCTTCGTTTTTTCGTAAGAGCAATGTTCGATGCTGATCTTACCTGTAATTCTCGGAATGGAATAAAACTATACTTACAACCCTTAAGTGTAAGAAAAGTTGGATTCACAGAGTAAGAAATTGATAGTGGATTTTCTTCCGCTAAAAATTCACCCAACTAACGTTATAACCATGTGACATCATTTTCTGAATTGAATGCCACTGATAGGTTGTATCCTATCCAGTAATATTTGCAAAATGAAATGTGCTTGCTCTGATGGATGCTAGATTTATACAGAAACTAAGAGTAACAGGTATAATTTAACCGGTTGTGTGTAAATTATTTGCAATATGACCTTCTAACCCTTCTACAGATCTACGACAAGGTTTTTCTAGTTTTAAAAGTAACACCACAATGTTGATTGTGTTATAAGAATATATACTTTGATTCTGCGTTGACTATGACTATATATTCTTACTACTGTTTCATTATGAAATGATACGAAAATAGAGCCTTATGTCGAAGAGTTTATCTCTATTTGAGTACATTTTATGACAAAAGTGTCTGATGTTGAAATTCATGAAATATAATACTCTATTATTTATTTACTTACATATTTTGTGCGACAAAGAAAATCATAATATAGAATTTTCAAATATCTGTATATCCTAAATTTTATTTAAGAAATAAGATAAACATAATACGGGGGTGACACTGAAAGTTTAAAAAAATCAAAAACTGAACAAACTAGCAAGTTACTAGTTTTATCTGTACCGCCGTACCGCCGTGTGACCGCCAAGTCGAGCAAATAAGCGGCGCGGCCGTACCATACTTTCTCGAAGCAATTCAGGCCATTTTCGACCCCCTATAACTTCGCATTGGATAAAACTAGAAACTTGAATTTTCAGTTACACAGTAGGCATTATACGAACATGATATATTTTTTTTCAATTGTTTTTATTCAATTTGAACCAGTAGTTTAAGAATTATAACTAGTCAAAGTTTCCTAATTTTGTCACTCACTGACTGACCGATCATCAAAACTCTCAGACATTTCTAGCAGACATAGAAGCTTCAAATTTAGAATAAAATTAGTGTTGTATAAACCAAGGAAAAACTAAAATATTTTTTAATTTCGGCCAGTTTTCTAGATAACTTTGTAATCCCATATAAAAACTGACTACTACTGAAAAACTGCATAAATAACTTTGTAATCTGATATAAATATATAGAATTACAATATAACAAATGTAACTTACATTTGCAGTGAGTGAATCAGTGTACTTGTATATGTGTAATAGGTATAGATAGGTACGTTGTTGGTATTCAAGAAGTAGAAGGTATCGAAAAGGTAAAAAAGCAGGACTATCTTATCTACAAAAATAAATGAGATGCCATCAAAAACATAACTTGTAAAAAAAACCAAGTCTCGCAACTCAGTTCTTCTACCGTAAAAAGTTGTGAGATCCATGTAATACCAAGTCAGTTAATTTATTCAGTTCATACTTATGGATACTTGTTTTAAGTTATTACGTAATTAGCTAACATCATCATCATCATTACAGCCCTTCACAAGTCCACTGCTAAACATAGGCCTCCTCCAAGGCATGAACCACCTGCATCCATCGACTTCCTGCATGTCTTACCAGGTCGCCACTCCATCTAGTAGGGGATCGCCCTACACTTCGCCTACCGGTACGAGGCTGCCACTCGAGAACCTTTTTTCCCCAACGGTTGAACGGAGACAAAGTGAAAATTTTATAAGATTAAGGAGGCTTAGAAAATATGAAAGAGATTGAATTTGCTCTAGAATTATCAGAAACTATTTGAGAAGACAGAAAATTGCGACTAAAATTGCCAATAAAAAAGTGAAAAATCAAATAGCGATTTCCCATAACTAACTTCAATATATTAGCCGAAGATGAATTAAGTACTTGTTTGTGGGTATATCGGCGTTAATCAGCTATCACCATCTGATGGCATCGATCTCTTGCAGCTTTATATGTTTGCCACTTTTTATCAGTGCAATTCTTCTTAAAAGCACGGAAAGTTTTATCGTGTTTTGTTATAACCATTCTTACCCCAGTCGTGATCTCGACTTTAGCGTCCTCCAGTTCGACTGAACTGGAGGACGCTTAAGTCGAACAAAATACTTAGGAACATTTTCATTACACCGTCCTATAATATGTTGCTGTTAAAGAAGTCGCCTTTTTTATCAACTTCGGAAGCATTTTATACAGATGACCAGCATCTGCATCACACGTCACGCAAGCTTATCTATATCTTGTCTAGCAATACTTCGAATAGAGCTAGACACGGATAAAGGCTTGGGAGACTTTAATTTATATGGCAGGAAAAGCAGGTCATGCCGTGAAAATCCGGGAAAAGCAGGGAATTATCTAAAATTGACAACGTGTTCAACGGAGGAGACGGCCGTAAGGTCGATCCAGGTGTCAGCAGAATAGAAATTGTGATGTGTTTGTTGCATTTAGAGGCAAAATAGTGAAATTATGCGATAACATGGTCGGCCTTATCTTGCATGATTTGGGTGTTTCGCGTATTTCGTGCAAATTCCACAACATTTGTAAATGTCAAATTTATTGCCGAATAACTTCGTTTTCCCCCCCAATGTCTTTAATATCCATAAAATCCTTGAACTTTTTGTGTTTTCTACCTTCCTTGTATAGATAACAATAAAATTACTATCATATCAAAAATCGTAATGAAACGGTAATGAGAACGTCAAGGAAGGGAATGATATTGAGTAGTTAAGTTGAAGGATAGGGATGATGAGGGATTTTCATCGTAGACGTTACAACTTAAGCTATCTAAAACACCCGTCCTGTTCGATTGTTTTAGTATTTTATTTGTATTAAGACATTTTATCAACAAATCGACATTAATATGAACTTTCCAAGAACACGTATTTCTACTGGAACTCCTTTGGGTATAAAACCCATAATGGTCGATATTTACAAAATCTTTGGTACGTTATCATTCGAATTATGCGTAAATTTTTTGTACAAATTAGTCAATTTGTCCGTTAAGTATCTTTTCTGCTTCCTTATTTGGTTTTTAGTTATACATATTTTTTATCAGCTGCAATTCTAGTCATCTCCTCATCGTCAAATACTCCAAAATTAGTTGCTCTTTTAAGTTTTCATTTTTAGCCGTCTTATTTTCTTTTTTATCTCTTACTGTAAATATTTTTGTTTGTGTCAAGAGTTTATATTTTTTAAACTTTTCCTTTTCCGTTATAACCACATTAGAGAATTCTTTCTTATCCTTTTTCCTCAAGCACTTGTACCCTTCTCCAACACTTCTGGAAAGTATTTCACCAAACATTAGTCGCTCTTTAATGTCTTCACGCTTTTGTGTATTAATATTTTCTACTAATTTTTCTACTTTTCCTTCAGTCGATATATTTTCATTTTTCTTCTTATTTTTCATTATTCTATACAACATTTTTCTAATGCCATTTTTCTGTTTCTTCGTTTTTTCTATTTCATGTTTCAAAAATTACCGTAATCCAAACGATTTAGATACGAATTAGGTATGAGGCTTAGAGCTGATTGAGTGAGAGGATCTTGTTCAGCTGGATGTACTTCATTGTCACTATTTGGTGGAGAATTATCTATTAACAACTGTTGAATAAGCTTTTTCTTTATTTTTTCTTTCATAATGACGTTTTGAATTAACTCCTCCCTTCTTCCTCTGAACTCAATTGTCTAGGTGTCATATCTTTTGAGCTACTTATTGTTTTCTGTTTTTTCTTTTAAGTTATCTTGTTCTTTCTTTTGCCTTCGGATCTGCATACTTTTCAGTATCTTCATTAATTTCTGCATACTTTCTTTGTTTTTGTAATCGATCGCACTCTCGTTTCGTTTCTAATGTTTGTCTGGCTTTCTTTGGCGTTATTAATTCTTAATAATCTGTAATAACACATTATATAATATTTCTCGTATTCATCATATCAAGCTTATCCTTAATAACTAAAGTAATAAAAAGTACACTCACAAGGTTAGCTTGTGAGTTTACTTTTTATAAACAAACTTAAAGCTACATCTAGAAACAAAGTAAAAACTATTAATTCTTTATTTTATTATGAATTAAACTATTATTATAACTGTATCGTAGTAGTATTATTGTAGAAAAAAAAATTCAACTACGGGTTGGACTAGAACTTGCGACCACACGGTTTGTAATTTAATAATGCATTGTAATAAATATCAATAAATTAACGTAAAATTGATTCTAATTGTCATCGTTTTGACCTCATCACCATCGCTAAAAAAACGACGGTAAACGAAGGTAGTGAGGACATAGGTAATGAGGTTTTTATTCTTATCTAATTGTTTCGTGAAAAATATCAAAATTACGAATCTCGTGCTTACTTTAAATTACGGCGGTAATCCCTAGAATTGATAATTAACTACATATTAAACAAAATAATTAATAATCACTTAATAATAAAATGGACGAGAGGAAAGAGGCCGATTTTAGAATAATCACCTCCCGCGAAACTTTACACGTAAATATTTTTTTCCAAGAACAGGCGTGAACCTTCTACGACGTTTGTTGGCTGGCTGAGACTTGTGCGGAGCGCGGCATGGTGGTATAGTGACATTCACGCTAATACGCGGACTATAATTTAGATTTTCACTAAAACCGATGGTAATCAGAAATTTTTTTTGATAAACATTTATGAAATAAAATTTCTTTATATTGTGGGGTTATCGTTATTTATATTAAGTGTGAACGTTGTGTTTTTTAATAAAGTTTCATAATATGGTTATTTTTTATGTTTAATGTTTACATTTTTGGTTAAAAATACAATTTTTTTAGGAGAGTAGTAAATGGACACCGAAGATAATGAGAATTATCGAAGTTTTTTATTTATCATTACTTTATTACGTTATTTTTATCCGTAAATATTACATGCATGTAAGCATAACCACTTTACATTTGATTTCCTTTATAAGAAATGTATATATATATATATATATATAACAGGTTTGATATATTACATTTAGTTGACTACATTATATGCCAGGAAAGCTATAATAGGGACTAGAGCTAAATGGGAAGCATGGGTGATAGCATATTTTGACGGTATTGCGCTGTTACGAAAAAGCTATGAACTGGTTGCACTAGGATTTTAAAATAAGAAGAAAGAGAGGTTTTTAAGATCAGTAATGATAAAAAAGTATCTCTAGACAAATCACTAAAAACACTCGCATTCAACGCCAAGATTTAAATATGGTCTGTACAATGTACAAGAATGGACAAATATAAGTATCTTTATTGCACTATTAAACACATCAGATAGAAAAAAATTGAATTCCGCATACAAAATGCCTTCAGAAGTAGTGCATCAGCTGAAAGTTTCCAGACTTCTCAGTAAAAATAACAGTCATAAGGTTTATTTTGATGAGGTACAGTTGTGAAGCGTGGATACTAAATTACAACAACCCTTAGTAGCCGACAGAAAGATACTGAATAGGCTTTTAGGTCTAGCTTGAAAAGAAGGTAGTAGCTAAAGAATCCTGACAAACTCCGAATAAGAAAATTTAAGGGTCACTGTGTAATATGAGTGAGTGAGTGTGATAATTTGTATATACAAAAGAAGATGTTCTGAGTGGCTGACTCTACATATACTATATACGCACAGCCAAAACCGCTTGACGTAGAAATCTGAATTTTGGACAGTAGATACCTTTTATAAGCGTATGTATCTACTAAGAATGGATTTTGAAAAATTCAACCCCTTAGAGGGTGAAAATGGTTGACACAATGTCTATAAAACTTTTTATTTTAATTGGCGATTGACTCAAAATTGAACTCAAAAAAGACTAAAGATGAAAAAGCCCTTTTAATGGTTAGGTAAAGATAAATTATACATTTAAGTTAAAAAATAAAATGAAAATAAAAAATAAGATAACGACAGTTGAGGAAAGTGGAATAGTTGAAGTAGTGGAAAGTACAAGAAATTATAGGAAGTATGATGGAAAATATTAGAGTACCAAGTAATAAGTTTGAGTTGATTTTTTTAAAAAAAAGGGATTGAGCGCGGCGAATACGTAAAGGAAATGATTTCCAGAAACATACAATTGTACCAGAAAATGATTTATTAAAATAGGAGGGTGTAAATACTGCAGTACGAAATGAAAGATTGTTATAGCGGTATTTTGTCACTTAACAGCCTTTAGTCTGACTAAGTTCTGCGACCATTAAAACATTTTGATACTCAATTTTTATGATGTCGTTAAGTCTCATGGAGTCACAATCACTTTGACTTAAAAAGGTAGAGACGGCACAATTTATTTATAATATATAATAATTAGGCATTAAAAAATTGGGGAGCGTTTGAGAATTTGGGCGTATATAATCCAAATAGTAAGTTTTTCTTAGTGATTATTTTTATTGTTAGATTTTATCAGTGAATATTTTAACAAATCTTTAAATATTTGCAAACTATTAAAATGTGGTAACTAAAATTAATCTATTTTAATTTATCTCGTGGTGGTTAAACAAACAATTGATCAATCGCCTATAACTCAATGTTATCGATGTCTGGGATTTTCTCACAGAACTTGGGAATACAAGGCTCAAAGTATGAATTGCGGCTATTGCGTCGATGCACACGACACAAGGGAGTGCTATAACAGAAAAAAAGCACCCAAGTGCATAAATTGCATAGATAAAAAGCGTAGCGAAATTAATTGTGCTCACCCAATGTGCATACAGCCCTGAATGCCTAGAGTGGAGAAAATGGGATTGGATAGCTAGATCAACTGTCACATATTGCTAAAGACACCGATTCCCTCCCACATAGAACTTCAGGCGTAAAGGACAGCACAATTAAAATAGCACAAATCAACCTTGGTAGAGGGTACGCAGCATTCCATGAATGCTTGCAAGCGGCTGAAACGCAAAAGATATCGATCATACTAAGCCAAGAACCATATGTAGGGGCCAAAGCACATGTTAACTGTAAATATAGAGTTATGCAAAAACATACCAGCGACACCCAAAAACCCGCCAAATCGGCTGTCATTGTCGTTGACCCAAATATACAATTAACTGTTAATCCAGAAACAATAACGGAAAATATTGTTGCATTTAAATTTAAAATTAAAAATTTTGAAATCCCAACCGTTTCGGAAGCGTTAGCCCAGCTTGAACTACACATACTGAATGTGGGATGGACAACCACTTTCTGGGCGCGCAGAGCAAATAAAGACTACACTAGCATCGTAGATATAACCGCGTGTTCAAGCAGCCTACTACATAAAATAACCAATTGGATTGTTAATCCAGATTTTGTCACGCTTTCAGACCACAGGACAATTGCATACAATATAAAAGTTGACAATTCACCAGAAGAAGGCAATCAAAGAAAATCTACGCGTATATACAACACAAGTAAGGCTAACTGGACAGACTTTGCCTCTACTCTGAAAGCGGAACTGGAAATTTACAATATCACCGACGAAGAAGTCAGAATCACACCAAGCACACACGCTTTAGAGAACCTAGTCACCCAGTATGTTAAATTCATCCAAAATTCTTGCGACAAATCTATCCCTAAATTACCTAAAAGGATATCTACTAAAATACCATGGTGGACTAAGGAACTAGACGAAAAGAAAAACGACGTTATTCGGAAAAGGAGAAGGATCAGATTCGCAAATAAAAATAGAAAACAAACAATAATTGACGAATATATACAGGCTAAAACAGAATATAAAAATCTTCTCACTGAAACAATCACATCAAGTTGGAAAGAATTCTGCAGTAAGCAAGATAGGGAGAGCATGTGGCAGGGCATATACAGGGTCATACGTAAATCCAACATGAACTCAGAAGATACTCTGTTAAGGAAGATGCCGAACGGTACAATAAAGACCCCAGCAGAATCAGCAGAGCTATTATCCGAAACCTTCTACCCAACGGACGACACTGAATCTGATGAATAAATACATGCTGAAATTAGACGTAATGCTGAAACACAAAGGAAGGAATGGGGCAACAATAAAGACTCTATAATAGAATTCACAAATACTGAACTACAACTGACTTTCAAAACTATGAGTCTAAAGAAATCACCGGGAGAGGATGCTTTAACTGCAGATATCTGCTACAAAGCCTTTATGGTCAATTCTCCGGTTCTCTTAGCTATCTTTAACAGATGCTTGGAAATCGAATACTTCCCTAGAGCTTGGAAAAGAACAGTAAATCAGAGTTATCCCTAAAGCAAACAAAGAGGAATACACCCTTCCTAAGTCATAAAGACCTATAGGACTTCTCCCCGTTCTGGGAAAGGTCGTGGAAAAGCTGTTCGTCAATCGTCTGTCGTGGCAGCTGGGATCAGAGAACAGAATGAGTAATCGACAGTACGGGTTCGTTGCGCAGAGAGGAACCGAAGACGCTCTATGTGATGCGCTAGAGTTTATAAAGCAGGGCATAAATAACAAGGAAATAGTTGTAGTCGTCTCCATAGATATCGAAGGTGCCTTCGATAACGTCTGGTGGCCCGCCGTGATCGACGAGCTTGAAAACAAAAAAGTAGACAAATCCATATGCAGATTAATAAGTAGCTATCTCTCTAACAGACTTATAAAACTTACGTACGCAAGTAACGAAATTATTAGGCAAACCAACAAGGGATGTATACAGG